TATCGTAGCTAAAGATTTGTATGAAGTGGAACTTGTTAAATCTACTATAGAGCATCGTGAACCAATTATAGTAGGATTTTTTATACTACAGTATGCCAAGTTGAGAATGTTGGAGTTGTATTATAACTTTTTCGATGAATTTTGCGATGTCAACAAATTCGAAGAACTCGAAATGGATACAGATTCCCTCTATTTGGCCTTGGCAGAAGAAGATTTAGATGATTGTATCCTTCCCAGCAAGCGAGCAGAATGGACTGAAAGGCGAAGCAAGGACTGTCGAGACGATTTCAGAGCAGATGCAAAAAACAACTTTTTTCCCCGTACTTGCTGTTCTAAACATAAGAAACATGACAAAAGAGAACCAGGATTGTTCAAGGAGGAGTTCAGATGCACCGAAATGTTATGCCTGTGTAGTAAAACCTATTGCTGTTACGATAGTAAAAGTCAAAAGTATAAGTTTAGCAGTAAAGGTCTGAACAAACAGGCATTAGAAGACTCTGGAGATGGACCAATGGCAAAGTATCGACAAGTACTGGATGAGGCAGTGAATTTGAAGTCAACGAATAGAGGATTTAAAACGATTAACCATGCAGTCGTGACTTATGAACAAACTAAAAAAGGACTGAGCTATTTTTACCCTAAACGGGAAGTTGAATGTGATGGAATACATACTAAACCTCTAAATTTGTAAGAGATTTGTAGATGCTGTGAACTAATACATTATCTCTGTAATTAACCTTTTTTTTTAAAAAAAAAACTCTTTTTAAACGCTACGTTTGGGTTAAGAGTATGTTGTTTTTTGATTAAAAAACTTTTACAATCTGGAAAATTGGCTAAATCGAGCTCCAAAAAACTCGGGTGCCAAAATTTTTTTTGAAACTTACCATCTGAAACTTTACCATCTTACCATCTGAAACCTACCATCGTAATACATTAGGAATCCTATTCCCTAATGAGTTCTTAATTCCCTACAAGGAATGTCTTAGACATAGGGAAATCTTTACATGGGAAATTCGGGCGCCAAAAATTTTTCTGAAACTTACCATCTGAAACCTCGTATCTTAATACATTGGGAAACCTATTCCCTATCTTAATACATTGGGAAATCTATAGCCTATGTTAATACATAGGGTGGCGACCGGATAGTCTATAGCCTATGTTAATACATGGAGGTCGCCATCCCCCCCCCCCCCCAACCCCCCCCCCCCCCCGCTGAAATGCTCCAACCTATACTACTAACAACACACACACTTAAAGTAACATCATTGCTGAAAAAACTAAACTGAATCTGCAACTTTTTTTTCAGATAATTCTACAAAAATGTAGCATCCGACTTGTTACTACTAGCTAATATCAAGTTCAAAATTTTTCTGGAACTCAGTAAGATGACAACAAAACCTGATCGTTATACAAAAAATTTAGTTTTCTTCGCTCTGGTAAGAAAAAAGCGAGGACTTTTGAGGTTCAAACTTTCAACAAAAATTCCATTCCGATGAACTCAAGCTCTCAAATTTCTTTAAATTACAGTCATTTGATGTGAAGTTAGCACAGAGAGTTCCATCCACAGTTATATTTGCAAGGGAAAAAACACAATTTTCTCGAAATTTTTAAAATTCGTTTCATTAGTCAAAAAAGAACCAAAGATTAATCTTGAGGTAGACATGGTCGAGAAATTGAACACATGTTTTACATTATTAACCTAAAGGATACGAATTGTCCCTTTTCTCTGGCATTTGATTTAAATACTGCAACTGAAAATTAAATGAAGATGCTGTTTGGAAACCAAATTTTTTCAGACTGCTTTTTTCGAATCATTTACTTTTTTCGGAATTTTTATTCCAAAATAAATGAAAATTGGAAGCGTTCTAGTTTGAAATATCATTCAATTTTGTTTGGTTGATAAAACGAAGTTCACAATTTTTCAAAAAAAGTTTTTAGCAGCTATAATAACATGCAAGTCTCAGAAAGCCTCAATTTCTTTTTGTTAGTCCACAAAAAGAGCAATCTGAACAGCATTAGTCATGCTTTAGTGGAGCAAAAAATCAATCGAAAAATCTTCATGAGCGATAATGGCTCAGCACTTAAAAAAAGCAGCCAATCAAGTCAAAGAATGCTTCATTTTTTTAAGCACCCTGGCATGATTGTTAATTTGGGCAGCTTGAATTTTCGGCACGTTGACTTGCCAGTTTGTATATTTTTGATTTTATTTTTTTTAGTCCTGTGCTTCCTGTTTTTTTTGCATTCTGACGAACGATGTTCATTGTCTTAAGCTCTTCTCGATTCTATTTACCTAACCATGCGAACTTTGCTCATGGACTTTTCTTGCAACCAACTGGTAGAGCTTCAGTTTCTTGACCTTTCCGAGTTTTATTACGCTTGCAATTAGCAAATGATATTAAATCGAATAGAGACTTTTTTTCGGGTTAGCAACTTGTTTAACAGAATCACTTGAATCACTTGATATCTTTTTCAAATGAATTCAAATTTGTCGGCTTAGTTCCCACATACTAAATTTTTTTTTGCTTTATGCAGCTTCCATTGAAGTTGTTTTTTTTTTCGTATGCATTTTTTCCTGCAATTTTTAATTCTACTAATCTTGAGTTCGTATACTTTTTTTTACCCTTGCCATTCTCCAATGTTGATTCTTCTTCTGGTTAGTGGTTTTCGGCCTAGTTTCCTTCGGTTCATTTTCCGTTTTTTTATTATCATATATATTATCTGGTACTAGTTTTTATCGGCCTACTTTAGGAATCATAGTTTTATATTGATACCAAAATGTTTTTAGAATAAATGATAGTTGTGTAATTTGTCATTCTACCAATCAGCGTTTGAATAATCAGCGTTTTTTTAAGTTTTTTTTTGATTAAATGGTTTTGGCTAATGTTGTACCGGCTTAATCAACCATATTGCGTTTTTGTGTGTTGTTTCAACGGACTGAAAAATCCTGTTTGACAAAATTAGATATTTTGGAAATGTATGGGTTGGTTTTTTCTCACTTTTTTGATAAATTTTCAAAGGTTTTTTTTTTCACTTTTTGCAAAAATTTAGTGCAGTAGTAAACTACTCTACCGAAATTCAAAATCGGCCTACCATCGAAATACCACGTGCAACCGTTTGTGCCTGCATATTCTTCTATTCTCTCCTTACCCTACCCTACTGTCTACAGTCCTATGAAAAAGGGGGAATATTCGGCCCATGTTTTTATATTTTTTCGTTTTCTCAAAAAATGATCTCCAAAAGCTGAGATTTTAGGTTCAATGGATTGAATAGGTTATGGAGAACGCCCCTGCATAAACGGCTTCACCCATTTTTTTTCTCCACAAAAAACATGGTCCTCCAAATAGTAAAACTTTTGATTTTTTGTACCATGGTTTGAGTCTTTTTGATTTTTTCTCGAAACCTACCCGCCCAAATCTGAGATTTTGGGCTCAATCCAATTAACAGTCTGTAGAAATCTTTTGTGCGCGTGCAGCTATGTCCATTTTTTTTTATACTAAAAGTAATGGCCCTCGGAAAAGTCAATAATTTAGTTTTGACCCTCTTTTGAAATTTCTTCGACTTTTCGCGAAAACTACCTTATCAAATTTGAGATTTTGTGTTCAATCAAAACAACAGATTGAGGAAAACTTCCCTATATAATCCACCAATTATTTTTTGTTATGCAAAAGTTATGGTCCTCAAAAAGTCAATAATGTGTTTGTTGTACCGTCATTTGAACTTTTTGGCTTATCTCGAAAACTACCAACTCAAATCTTAAAACTTTGAGTTCAATCGAAACACCAGGTTAGTTTTGTGATTTTTTGTTCAGCGGCTACGCCCATATGTTCTTACCCAAAAAATTTGATTTGCAAAAAAAGACAATTATTACGTTAAAGGTTCGGGTTCAATTAAAAAGTGCGGTTTGATAATCTTCTGTGTAAGCGATCTTGACCTTTTTTTGCAGAAGAAGTTATTGATTTCGGAAAGTCATGTTTTTGAAATTTTAACCGTTTTTCAGAAATTTTTTGTTTTCTTAGAAACTACTCTATCAAACTTGAGATGGAAGGTTCAATCGAAAGAACCGATTGTGAGAAATTTTCCCATAGAAGGGGCAACTCCTTATTTTTTTAAACAAATTTTGTAATTGGAAAGATTGCATTTTCTCGAAAATTTTCACTCGTCTCACTTGTTTTAGTAGAGAACTAACTACAGTCAATGAATGAATTTTTAGGCTCCAAGCTGATCGATGTATTACCAAGCTAGTTATATGGCAGTTTTTTCAATGTTTTCGCTATTTTCAACTAATAAATTTAGTCTATTGGCCAATTCAGTCGCATCTAACAAGCTAAAATAGCAACCAAAAAATTGTGGCAAAAATGAAATTGCTAGTAAACTGCTATTAAACTAAATGTGCATGGACATTTTTTGCTTCTTGCACATCAATCGAACATACTTGTAAAGGTATTTTTTGAGTACTCGGCTCAAAATACAGATTATTTAATCTTGTGTTGTTTTTTGCTTTTACCAGGAGTGGCTTGGTGAAATTTAATTCAGTTCAACAATTTTTTTCCTATTTTCGCCGATATGTCTGAGGTTTTATCGTCTGTGACGTTTCATTTTGTTTGCTTTGCGAGCACTGAGCATGCGATTGTTTTCTTTCCATCCTCTGATCTCTAATTTATCCGACTTTAGGTGGCTTTCCACGCCGTCGACTTCAAAACAACCGAACCTAAATCCAAAACTAGACGCCTTATATTCTGGTTTCTTGAGCATGGGGGGGTTATTTGATGTTTTGTCTGTATTTAATCAATGACCGTAATCATTTTTTGATGCTCCATCCTTAAACAGGTGCGGACGGGCTGACTGTTAGTTATAATTCTCTTGTTTATGATTCGCTTAGTGATTTAATTTCAACAACACAATTTTTTCCAACATGACGTTTTGGTCCACTAAAAAATTCCCAAGCTCAGCATCAAATATTCAGCTGTAAATCAAGTATTATGACGATTATAAATGGAAAATAAAAAAAATCCGATTAAAATTTTCCCTTTTTTCAAATAAGCCAACGTGCATTTTCGCACTATCTGCATCTTTTCACTATTCCTATAATAACATATTACATGAGAAAAAATAATCAGAGCTGTGATTTTTGAAGCTCGTTAGCCTTCCCTCGATCTAAATTGGGATCCATTTCTCCTTTCGTTGACTTTGAGTGACACATACCGTTCTCCAGTTCAAAAATTTACGATGAGCGACGTGCGTTTACGATTATTTATACCTTTTGCTTATAAAATTTTTCTCCTGCCGAAATGAAATGAGGTCGAAATCTCAGTAATACGTGGAAAATTTCAGTTCAACTGCATGAAGCTTACCTTTTCCTTATTTTTTTAAATAATTTAAAATTATTATTTAAAATGAATGTTGAAATTTCAAAATTAATTTAACCTGAAATCTGAAAACCCGATCAGCATGTTTTCGCCAACATCTCCAAAGTCGAACGGATCCTGTAACTCTGTTCGAAGCAACAATTCCAATCGAGCTCGTCAGTCCTCCCAAGAACTAGTTAGCTCAGACTGGGAAGATATTTTGGCCATGATGGACCATAGATCAGAGACTCTGAGGTCGCAAGAGACCAAAAGTATGGCCTCCAAGGCTAAACTTCCGACGTCTAAAGGGAGTTCAAATCAGTGCTTCAATTTCGGAGCCCCCGATTTGAGTAAAAGGAGAAAGAAAACCAATAATACGAGCAATGGTTTTACGTCTTCAACAGGTCTGCCGCCTTCCGCTTTCGCCCCCGTGTCCGACGACGAAGTCTCGGTTGCCGACGATTACGAAGGTAAGAGTCCAAAGAAACAAATCAAAGCCCCAGCTTTTGCGCGGATGTGAATATATTTTTTATTTAGTATTTTGCTCCCCTCGGTTTAAATAAGTATCGGCGCCAGGGGTGCCTTCAGAAAAACTTAAAGAATTATCAGCCAAAGATAGATGTCGTAAAATAGCTCCAAAGTGGGGACCCTGTTCAGGCTCAAACTTTTTTTTATTATTATTTTTTTTAAAACTGAAGTAAAATATGCAACCCATCCCCCCTTTTCGCCCGTAAATCCACTACTGTTCTTTCCGTTTGAAATGATTTCATGCCAGGATAAAAAAATATATTGACAGAAAAAAGCATAAAAGATAATTTGAAAACTGAGAGACGGTTTTAATGAAAACTGTTTCTTATAAATTGCATCGAAACTTTTTTAGGCTACAGCGAGTACGGAAGCTCCAGATTATCAAACAAATTGAAGTCATCTGCAAAATCCATCGAGTCACCGGTCAGTGACAAATTACCCCAACCAAATTTCACCCCAAACCACAGCAGTATTCCTTCCACAGCTTCGACCAAAACATCGCAAATTGCACTAAGACCAAATAAAACTAACGGAGAACCAATATTAACGTCAAGAACTTCCAAGAACCAAAAAGAATCAGAAAATTTACCTACAAACGAAGACACCTCCAAAGATAGATTCTCTAAAGAAACGAACGCGAAAACTAGCAAAGTAAAACCAAATGCTGGCTTGAATTACCCAAAAAATAACAACCCAAGAAATGCGAGAAATGATACAAAATCTAACAACAACGTTGAATTGAGATCAATTAACCATAATTTGGAAAATAAATTATTTACAAAAACAAATTTTGAAGCGCACGAAAAAGCCGAATGTTCGGAGCCAAATTCTCCCAAAAAGTCCAACTACCAAAACAACGAACGACAATCTATCGAAACATCTCGGAAAGAGCAAACAAATCGACGTGTGAAACGCATTAAACGTACTAAACCTTCGATTAAGAAAGAAATTGACCAAAAATCAGAGGATGAATTAAAGCAAGAAGAAAATGAGTTGGAAAACGTATTTAGAGAGGTGGAAGTTACTTTAATAAGTTTGTCACCTGAAGAAAAAACTAGACTTGTATCACCGCACCCGAAGTCACCGAATTTCACCCACACTGATATCCGAAGTCCGAAACTTTCGGGGTTCCGACCAGCCGAGAAAGAAAAAACACCAGCTTGGAAAGTGAACGAGAGGCTAGCTCAATCTCAAGTGATTTATGACCGATACGAGCCGATGTCTTCAAACTCGCATTACGAATCAGAACCGAATAGCCGACGGTTGAGCGAAGCGGTAGCGAGTGAGTTTTCCAACCAATTTTCTTCCGAAAACAGCGCATCGGAAGATCTGATTAAAGTCAACATTACTAAACCTTCAGTTAGTATATTCTCAAAAGTCAACCAAAATTACAATCAACCCCAATCTCAAAATTATAAAACTCTAAAATACTCCAAAAAGAATTTATCCCAGAGTTTAGACTTTTCATCTCAAGAGGATTTAAACCGAATGGTGTATCTCCGAAAGCATTATTACGACAATCAATACGACTACGATTCGGGAACTTCGACTATGAACTCGGCTCCAATTTCAGCGAACGATTCAAATTGGAGTCACCGACAGAACGACTTGTCATCTTCTCGAAGCTCAAGTATTTGGAGCAAATACGACGACATTCAAGATCGAAACGTGGCGGTTTACTCGCACGTTTTGAGGAAGTATGGAGACATTATGGAGCTGGAGTCGCCAAGAGTATCCCATGTCCAGAAAAACAAAATGGACCCGGCGAGGAAAATTCTGGGTCAGAAATCGTACGCCCTGGACCACGCTAAGAGGGTTTTGGTGAGGTTGAAACAAGCGACAGGTCAAGACTTTGAGTTGCTTCACGAGAAAGAGATAGAAGACGAATTAATATCGGGAGTGGAACCGCCCAAAAAGTTGCCTCCCTTGGGACTAGTTGATCCTATCGAGATCGAAGTCAGGTTAGTTAAAGTTTCGAGGATTATTATGCCTTTCGTGTTCTGATTTTCGAATATGATCAAGAATGTTTTTTTTGTCAGAATTTCTGACCATCTAATTGAAATAGTTTTTTATCATTTTGAATCTATCAATGACCTCAGTTGAAAATGAGAAAAGAATTTTTTTGTGAATTGAAGTCCGGTAGTTGGATTTTATTGAATTTTCAGTGACTATGCTACTTTAGAGTTCAATTCAAACTCGTATCTTTACAAGAAGACAATTTCCGGTCTCAGGCTAAGAATACTGAAATGGCGCAAAAAACTTGACTTATTTTTAATTTCGGTAGCCGGTTATAGTGTTCAGAATTATCAGCTGAACAAAACGGCTATCTGCTGATCCAGTTTTCTGAACTCGAGTTCAGTTCATCAAAAAAAAATTTGAATAGAATTAAATCCATATATTTTTTCACCTAATCGAAAACTGAAACTTTTTTAAAAACCAATAATTTGTTTTGTCTTTTCGACCTTCTCCGAAATTTTTCAACTGTCTGCTGACTCTTTTTTGAACTTTGACACAGTGAGGAATAGATACTCGGCTTTCCTTAATACTTTTTTTCTATCTATATTAGGAAAGAGAAAGAATTTTGACTTTTATGAGGCTTCCTCGCCGAAAATGAGAGCCCTCAGAACTTCAAGAATGTGGTCAAATGAGTAAACTGTTTTGACCAATTCAGGCCATGGCGAAGAAATATGGCTGAGGGTGTTTTTGAACGCGTTTTGTGTAGCTCAAAAAACACTCCGGCGGGAAGGATTAAACTGCTGTTTTGTTTCACAAACCGATCTTAACCCGGTTTAAAGGTTATTTTAATCTGGCGATGATTAGGATTCCAAAAAACCTAAAAATTCTTCTCGATGTCGAAAATACTGGTCTGAACCAGTGGCTTCTTAGATTAGTTTCGAGAAAAATTTTACAGACCCATTTATTGTAACTAAATTTAGTTAGCTTATTACAAGAGTTTGAATAGTGCCAATTCCCCTCGCTTCAAAAAAAAACAAAAAAAAGTTCGTGTAAACGCTTAGATTGTTTTTAGAAAAAAAAATTCACAAAAATAATTTAGTTCAAATATTTTGTGCTATTTGCACAGCAACCAGCAATCTTTGTTTATGTTTGAAATTTTTTTGAAACGAAATTTTTGCATTTTGAAGGTATTTTTGATTTTTTGGCAAACTTTCAATAGCTGAAATTAAGCTCGAATAATAACTTACTCATAATCTTAACACTATTAAAAAACGTTGTGTTCACATCCGATTTCATAAAAAGAATTAAATTGGCGGTATATTCCTAAAAATACATGCTCGGTACGCGCCTACCAATTTAAGAAATGTGATTTTCCAAGCAATTTTGCTCAAAATTAATATATTTATAAAAAAAGTTATAATGGTAGCTTAAATCGCGAGAAAATTGATTTCAAATTATAAAATCAGTGGACATCAACCGATGTCTAATTAAGATTTTTGTTTTTGCAGGAACTTTTTTTTTACCGGAGCAAAATTGCTCTTTTAAATTTTTTTTTTGCCTGACAAAAAAGAGGAAAACATCTTCAACATGCTTTTTATCGCCATCTTAGAAAAATAATAAAGAATTGAATTTGATGTTGCCTGCTCTTTTAAACGAAGAGGCGTCTAGAAACTAAAGAATGTGACCAAATTAGTTAATTGTTCCTAGACCACTTCACGAAATGAGAAAGAATTCTAAGAATGATAAAGAATTTTTAGAATGAATGATAAAGAAGTTTTTCAAATGCATTTTGGTTGCCTCAAAAACTTTATAGTTGGTAAAAAGCGGTGATCGATGATATTACTCCCCTATATGTTGTTTGTGATTTGATTCTAAAAAAGCGAAAAATGAACTGTTTTCAATCTAAGTTCTGGTTTCTAATCAGTTCGTAATATAATCTTAATCTGGTTTTCAAACCAATTTTTTTTCTTGATAGTTAATTTTAGTAAATTAGCAGCTGGGTTGTTTGATAGCAACCCTCTCCTCCTCCCCCAAGCAAACGTTTTTATAATTTTTTTTCTCGTCTTCGCATTCTTTTTTCAAAGACAGTTTTTGTCGGAAAGTTTTGTGTTACTTGACAGCAACCAGCTATCTTTTTATTATATTGTAATTTCTTTTTCACAACTTTTTGTAACAAATAGTCTCATTACTTCGCACCTTTACTCGCTCATTTCTAATTTTTCAATATTTTTTGGGCAAATGAACACGCTTATTTTTCTAACTGGTTTTTACGCAGATGATTGAGAGTTTATGCAACACTTTTTGTACACATAGTTCGGCTTAAAAGTATGATAAAAACGGGTTTTGAGTGTTTTTGAGATTCTTGAACTATAATTTAAAGGAGATTTACCTGCGTTTACAAAAATTGTTTTCGTCTTATTCTTATTTCAAACGTTTTTGTAGCAAATTTTTGGCTTTAAATTTTTCTATTTTTGGTTGTTGCGGTTTCAGACACACCTGTTAAGTTGTTTAATAACAAATGAATCGCAAATGATGCGCTGCTCTGCTTTGTTCTTGCGCGATGATTGAATTCAACGATGGGCTTCGGATCACAAAGCTGAGTTTCTAACCGTGACATCTTTTTGAACCTGTTCTGAGCTGAACTGTTTTGCGTGGTGTTCATGAAAGAGTGTTTGATGATGTTTCAGATCATTCTACAAACCGCGAACCATGAAAGAGTTCAGAACACTGCCAAAGTTCCAGAACTTGACATTAGGGCCGCAATCCACCGAAGCACAACAACGTGAAAAGGTAAAAAGAACAATGTGAACAATTTCCCCCTTTAATAAGCCAATTAAGCGATTACAAAGACCAAAAGAGGGTTTAGGGGGGTTCCCTCCTCAAGGATTCGACCCACTGTCAGCTTAAAGTCTCCCCCTTTGGTACTATTTTCAAAAAGTGCCTAAAAACGCGTTTGTTGGTCTGTTTTTTCCAAAAACTTGCCTGCGAAAAAAGGTCAAAATGGGGTTTTTCTAGTGGTTTGGAAGAGCTCAGAAGATAAATTTGGGCGAGCTACAAAAATTTCAAAAGGTTGACAAAATATTCGAAATTTTTTTGAAAACCCGCCTCCCTCTCGAGAAAACACTGAATGCACCGCTTACCAAGACCCCAACGGCAAATTCAATCTGAGAAAGAATTTAGATTGTTCAATTGGTCCGATGTAATTATTGCTATACGAAAAGTTTTGAATACAAAACTCTTTATTTAATCTTCACCTCTGGAATTTGATTTTTTGGGAAAACTTTGAAGACATGGTATCAAACTCAAGTTTTCAGGAGGCGCGGATGGTCGATTTTCAATGGCGAGATATAAAAAAAATTTCGACCAAATTTTTAGTTTGATCAATTTATTTTTCCAATTTATTTTACATTAATGAGATTAAAAAGAGCCAAAAAATATCGTATACCGGAAGCACGTTTTTCATAACGGTAACTGAAAAAACAACGGGGGGAGGGGTCAAAAGTTAACAGAAAATTTGATTTGTCAGCCATCTTTTGTTACGTTCTGCAATTTTAAAAATTTTTTATGTAGTTCAAAGACGTATGTTGAATTAACTTTCAGAGCTGAGTTTAATTAATTCTTTCAGGTTCTAAAAATGGAGAAGTTGAGGCACTTGGACCAGATCATCCAGGAGAGGAATCGGAAACTTCTTTCGAACAAGAGAGACAAGTCTAATGAGTCAACTAACAAACTACAAATAAGGGCTGCTACAAACTGATTCTAAAACTTAAGAATCGTCACTCTATGTCAATTTGAACAGCTTATGAAAAGAGTTTTAAAAATGAAACTAAATGATATTATGGATTATTAAACTAAACAATTTTAACCATTCCTTTATTCGAAAGTTATTAATTTTGAGAAAAAGGAGAGTCAAAAATGAATAAATGGAAAGGATTTATTGCATAAGTACCATCGAAGGGGACCATTATGCTTGCAAGGTCATAACTAGATTTGCTGCCAATTTTAACTCAGAAGTAAAGCGGAGCTTCATATCGCTTGCGATAGAACAAAAACCACCCTAAAAGTCCTTCGTTTGGAAATATTTTACGACACCCATTTTTGGTCGACTGACCATAAACTTTTCTAAGGGTGCATCTGGCGTGAGTACATATAATTTTGAAGGTGAAGCGCGCCAAAAAAACCTGCCAAAAAGTGACCAAAAAATGCGTTTTTGGCCTGTTTGTAGACTTGTTTTTGTCGGCTAAATAAAGTTAGGATATGTTTTCGGAGAGCTCGAATAATAAACTTGGTCAAACTAAAACTCAATTTTTTTGAGTTTGAATCTGGATCTTGTTTTTGCTGTTTTTAGAAAGCAAACGCATCCTTTCAAATTTCCTCTTCATTGTCTTAATCATGCAAATAGATGCGTAATTATAATTATGAACATTCATATTGTTAAATACAAAACGTTTTTCTTCATGTCCTCATCATGACAATCCAAAATATTTAACTAAATTTTTGTATCTGAAAACGGAAACGGGACGCGGAGGGGGTTGGTTGGGCTCGTTTATACCGTCTCTCGTATAAATGATGTATGTTTATTGACGGATCATGTTATTTAACATGAACAATACAAGACCAAACTGTGCACTGGATAGGCGCACAATTTTGTGTCTGTATCAGTGGCGTAGGCAGAAATTTTTGTGGAAGGGGGCGGTTTTTCGAAAACAGATTTTAAAATTTTGTCGACCTTTTTTTAGGTCGACTAATTTGATTTTCCGAGATCTCCGGAAATACCCTATTTTGTCAAAAATCTTTGCGAATTATCGCGTTTTTTGGCGCGCGCTCCCCCCTCAAATTAAGTTATATTGGCGCCGGCCAAAAATGGATCTCATAAAAATATACAAAATGGATGACCCTTTGGAAAAGTTTGACAACGAGAATTGAGAGAAGTACGATCGCCCCACCCCCCTCCCCCTCCCCTCAGTACGCTACTGCTCTGTATGTTCCTGGATTCCAGAGACAAGTCTTTAAACATGTTCCAAAATGTAAGTGGACTCCACTTACAAAAAGTTCGTGGATTCCGCGTACAAATACCTAGGACCTAAAATTTATCAGCACGTTTGTTTTGTTGCGGATTCTACAAAGTTGCATAACTTTGGAGCAATTTTGAGCGCTACTGTGTTTTAATTATTTGTTTGTAGAATTCAAAACAGCAAAGAATATCAAAGAAAAGTGGCAATATTGCGGATTCCGCGACAAATATTATTTTAGCTTATTGTGGAATCCGCTTACAATGCACAGAACGCACAGTTTGGCCGCGCAATGAAAATCTACAAAGCTGATTTTGAAAAGAACACGATCAAACAAAAGTGTTGCTTTTTATAAGTAACTCCACTTTGGCTCAAAAATGGCTTGAAATTTTAACTTTTTCTACGAGTACTGTAGAGTGTGAAAAATTATAGTATGATTTTTTTGCATCTCAGTCTGACTACCCTAAAGAAAAAAGTGGCGGTCAAGTGAAACATCATTTAGTAGCCCTCATTCGGATTTTAAGGTTTTTAAAGAGCTTAGGGGCCCTGATTTTGAGTTTAGCAAATAGCAAAGAGGATAGACGAAATATAATTCTATTTCTTAAGTTTTGAGAACTTTTCGAAAACTTTTCAAAACAGACTTTTCCAAATTTCAGATTAGCTTTTAAAATCATACAAGTAGTCCGAGAATTTTGCGTACAGCTGCGGATTTAAGGGACAAGACACGTTGCCCTTTTAGATAATTAACCCATTGTTATTAGGTATTATTTCGAGCCAAAAAATTCATTCGAGCCAAAAAATTTTTCTACACAGCTTATGGCGCCTATATAAACAGCTTCCGATTTTCTTCCAACATTGCAGTTTTTCTATTTGCTTAATACGCTTGGTTTTGATTATAGCTAAAGCCGAAATTTTGTTTAGAAGATCCGAGAAATTTCAGAATATTTACTTTATTCGCCATACAAAATAACATTGCATTAAGATATTGTCAGAATAGTTTTTAGTTAGAATAGTTTTTCTGTGGTTAATGCCAAGTTGTTGGCAAAATCGGTGATCTTGAGCAGTTTAATCGGTCAAAAACTATTGGTTTTTAGATTAATCAGTTTTTCGAAAACCATTTTCACGTGTGGGTGAAAAACTATTGGATTTTAGGTTAATCAGTTTCTCGAAAACCATTTTCACGTGTATATATCAGTAATAAGATGAAATGTGACGTGCAGTTTTAGGTTAATTAACTTCGTTCAGATTCGTTGACCGAAAAGATATTGCCAACAATTTGACATTAACTATGTATTGAAATGCTATTGAGGCAACAGTTAAAGTTTACAACCCGTTTCCTCTTCAATCCAAAGGTAAACAGTTTTGTATCGCGAAATGTTATCCACGAGTTTTTGCCACATCTTGAAAATTGTACTTTTCAGCATGAATCAAAGTAACCTCCAGAAACTTCCCTTAATCTTATTCGTTGAAGCTTGAAGGCAAAGCTCTCTCTTGTGGTTCGAGAAAGCCCGGGTCGAGATCCCGCTCAAAAACCGCTCAAGATATGGGCGGTTTGAGCGGTTTTCCAGCAAGATTTGAGCGGTTTGGGCGGTTTTTTGGAAAAACCGCTCAAACCGCCCAAATCTTGCTTAAAAAACCGCTCAAAAACCGCTCATTTCTTGCGGTGATTTTGAATGGTTTTCAAGCAAGATTTGAGCGGTTTTTAAGCGGTTTTTGAGCGGTCTTATAAAGAAAACCGATTAAAACCAACAAAAAGGCCTGGAAAGGTAATGTGACGCTAAGATGCAGTTGAAATACTACCCGGGTTCACCTCCATTAACCGGAAATGCTTATCTTACATTTCCCCACACCGAAAATGCTTATCTTACAATTTCCTACATCAAATGTATGGAAAAATGCTAATCATACAATTTTCATACAATTTCAAAAAACCATTGAAAAAAAATTTAATATAATTTCTTCGGCTATTTGAACCAAATAAAACGGTCTGATAATGAAAAATAACTACGTTTATTTTTTTGGAAACAAATGGTTATCCTACAATTTCCATATATGAAAATTGTATGATAACCATTTTTTCATGAAAAGCAAGATTTTCAGACAATTGTTAAGACTTGTTTATAAACAAATTTAATTTATTTAAGAACACTTTTGCTCAATTTAGAGCACATTGCTCATCAAAAACGAAAATTTAGTTTGAAGCTAATAAAATGGTTATCATACAATTTTCATATATATGAAAATTGTATGATAACCTTTTTTTGTCATAAAAAACAAGATGTTCAGAAACATGTTAAAACTTGTTTTTAATCAAATTTAAAGTAATTAAGAGTGCTTTTGCTCAACTTAAAGCACCTTGCCCATCAAAAACGAGGTTTTAAAACCAGATTTTTTGCTCAGTTTTACTCGTCAAAAATTGGTAGTTTACGACGAGTCAAACTGAGATCTCGAATGTCGGAGCCACACAGTTCGTCTTTTCAGAGAAAGACCCGGGGTAGGGTTAGCGTAAGGGTTAAGGGTAGGGTTTCTTAAGAAGTATAATTTCACGATGGTTGGAAAACAGAATTGAATTGAAAAAAAAAACCAAATTTCTAGATTTTTTAAACAATTTTCTGAGTCTATGAAACTCTAAGAAATTGTACGATAAGCATTTTTTTCATACATGGAAATTGTAGGATAATCATTTTTGGTCAACCCGGGTATCTACAATTTAAAAAAAGTGCTTAACCGTTCTCAACTCAAGCAAGATTTTTTTCGATGTCTTGATCAAAAGCAATGTGAGCGACTTTTTTCAAATGCTCGAGCGAAATAACCACTGGAAAATGTGTAAGTATGTGTATGTATGTATGTATGTATGTTTGTATGTATGCATGTTTCAATGTAAGTATGTTTGTATCTATGTATGTATGTATGTATGTATGTATGTATGTATGTATGTATGTATGTATGTATGTATGTATGTATGTATGTATGTATGTATGTATGTATGTATGTATGTATGTATGTATGTATGTATGTATGTATGTATGTATTTATGTATGTATGTATGTGTGTATAGATGTATGTACGTATCTTTGTATATATCTATGAGCGACTTTCTTATATATAAAAAAACGATCAAAAAACCGCTCAAGATTTGAGCGGTTTGAGCGGTTTGAGCGGTTTTTTTAAGACAATTACGCTCAAAATCTTGCTTCTAAATGAGTGATTCTTTAAAGTGAGTTTGGGAACTCAGCCAGGGTGTAGAATATGATATTCTAGGCTTACCTAAGAAGTTCTTGGCCACATTCTAGGAACGTCTAACGATTTTGATTGGTTAGAAGTTTTCCAGCGTTCGGTCCCCCCGTCGTGACAATGCGACCGAAACATACTGTGCTGGAAAAAAAAAACAATTTTATCACATGGTATTTTGTTTGGGGATCCCATCTTACGTTGCAGTTTTTTTGCTTCAAGTCTTCATTAATCTGAGCAAGTCTTTTTGTTGCTGGGTTTTGAGCCTTCGATTCTTTAAGTCGGGAGTAAGTTTAAATCATTGTCGCAGGGAATAGCTTTTGTGATTCCGATACACCAGATGCTTTTCCTCACAGATTTCTGGGACCAATATTTCACCAATCCTGTGTGCTTTCCGAGAAGGCGTTTGATATCGAAATCGAAAAGCAATAGTTTATCGATTGATTTGACGAACCGCACCTGTTTTGCTTAGGCGTTTTTGTCTTTTGATACATACGACGAAAATAGTTTACAATCTGCAACCTTTTGGAAGACGGCCCCAATTCAATAGTTT